AGGAGGGACTGCTGCAGCGAACTGGAAGCCGAACTGCGAAACCACTGTTGCCTGTCTCAGGAGTCGGGGACCTCGACCTCGACCTCGACTGTTCGGCCAAGGAGCTCATGATGGGAGCCTGAAGGTAGGGGTGCCAGACACTGGAGCACTGGAGGGAACGATCAGGATACCACCAGGACTTGAGGCTTGCCCCAAAATGGCCACAGACAAGGGGAGGGGGGCAGGAGGGAGCGGGCGAGTAGACTTATGATTCTCTGGGTGTGGGGTCCGCCGGGTCCGCCGGGTCCGCCGGGTCAGCCGGGTCAGCTGTGTCAACTGTGTCCGCCCGCCGGGTCCGCCGGGTCCGCCGGGTCCGCCGGGTCCGCCGGGTCCGCCGGGTCCGCCGGGTCCGCCGGGTCCGCCGGGTCCGCTGGGTCCGCCGGGTCTTCCGGGTCCGCCGGGTCCGCCGGGTCCGCCGGGTCCGCCGGGTCCGCCGGGTCCGCCGGGGCCGCCGGGTCCGCCGGGTCCGCCGGGTCCGCCGGGTCCGCCGGGACCGCCGGGTTCGCCGGGTCCGCCGGGTCCGCCGGGTCCGCCGGGTCCGCCGGGTCCGCCGGGCCCGCCAGGGACCCTGGCGGGCCCGCCAGTCCACCCTGGCCCAGGGTGGACTCAGGAGAAGAGAAGGGTGGAGGAGGAGCAGGAGGAGGAGAAGAAAAGGGTGAGGAGGAGGAGGAAGAGGAGGAGGAGGAGGAGGAGGAGGAGGAGCAGGAGCAGGAGGAGGAGCAGCAGGAGGAGGAGGAGGAGGAGGAGGCAGAGGGAGAACGAGGAGGAGGAAGAGGAGGAGGAGGAGGAGGAGGCGGAGGAGGAGGAGGAGAAGGAGGAGGTGGACGAGGAGGACGAGGACAAGGAGGAGGACAAGGAGGACGAGGCGAAGGAGGAGGACGAAGAGGACGAGGACGGGAGGAGGAGGAGGAGGAGGAGGAGGAGGAGGAGGAGGAGGAGGAGGAGGACGGGCTGCCCCGTCTTCGTGGCGGTTGAGCGAAAACGTGCAACGGTTTCAAGCGCGATCCTCCAGACGCTGTACATGGATCGGCGGACGTCAAGCCATCGTGGTGTAAGCAATGCTGTGCGCACTGTGCGGCGATAGCCATTCGGTGGAAACTATCATTGGTTATGTTGGCCATGTCGTAAATATCGCCGTTGTTTCGTCCTCTGGAATCGCTCGGACGCTGGGGACGGCTCTGGACCCCCCTTTGCCCCCGCCCAGACGTGGAACATTTCCCCATGCACGCCCTGCGCCGCGGACGGGCCCCGCTCGCGCGGGCCCGCGCGGACCCGCGCGGGCCCGCAGGGCGTGCAGAAGGAAATTCCTCGCAGTCTGGGAGGGACATCGGGAGAGGGCGACTCAAAGGGAGCTGGGGCACATATAGATTGCCCGGGGAAAGCCTACCCTAGGCCCACCCCTATAGGGCCCACCCTAGGCCTACCCTTCAGGCCTACCCCTAAAGCCTACCCGTAGGCCTACCCTAGGCCTACCCCTAAGGCCTACCCCTAGGCCTACCTTAGTCCTACCCCTAGGTCCTACCCCCAGGCCTACCTAGGCCTACCCCCAGGGCCTACTACTCCTAAGGCCTACCCCTAGGCCTACTACCCCTAGGGCCTACCCCTAGGCCTAGCCCAGGGCCTACCCCTGGGCCTACCTCAGGGCTACCCCTAGGCGTACCCCTACACTTACCATAGGAGGTTCAGTAAGGCCTACCCTTGGGAAGGCTAGGGCCTTCAGTGGGGCCTACACTTGGGAATCCTAGGGCTTTAAGCGGGACCTACCCTTGGGAAGCCTACCCTAGGGACCTACCCCGGGGAAGCCTAGAGCCTTGAAGGAGGCTGCCATAGAGACTTGAAGTCGGAAGGCGCTTAAAGTAGAGTGGGATCTAGGGATCCAGAAATACCTTTTTCAGCGAGTAGTAGGTAAGGATATGGTGAGCACGCAACAAAATGCTAGGCCACGCGTGTTGCATCCTTTTGGCTGCATACACCAGGGGGCGATGCTTCGGCGCTAGGACGCGCCCCTGCGGGCACTCGGCAGGTGGTCAGTCCTGCCGGCGCGCGCGCGTTCATTGTGAGCGTCTGCCATCTCCAGTAGAACGAAGCAAAAGCCAAACTGGTTCATGTGTTTGGTCTGGTGCTTGTACTGGCTCAACCAAGTAAACGTGAACTCACAAACGCTGGAACGGAACCCTTGCACGAGTTCGGCCAGAGACGGGTTCTTTGGGTGACAGTTTGCCAGACACCATGCGTAAGCGTGGCCCGTCGCATGAAACTCATCCACGCAGTACTTCAAGCGCGGGGGGGCGATGGCGGCCGCGTGGGCTGAGTGGGATTCACGGGAGGCGCTGAATTTGCGCAGATGGCACGCGTCATCATGCACGATAAGCTCCAGCTCTGGGTACAACGATTTCAACACACTAACGAAAAAATATCGCTGCGACAAAGATTCTGATCCGACCAGCTCCCGCAACGACGCGATGATCCCAGCGCTCGCGCATGCGCACATGACGCCAGCAGTCTGGGCTGAAAGGAGTCTCTCCTTCTCCCCTTCCTTGCGCGTTCCGCACGAGCTAGCGGCCAAGTCTCCTGAGGAAGAGTGCAGGGCCAGCGTGTCCTCTCGCTCCTGCGGCGTCAGTAGGTGCCAGAACGACGCCGCTTCGGCCATGGCTGCGGATACGGCTTCGCGGGCGTCAGCCTGCACCCGCCTCTTCCGCAACCTCCGCTCTGTTATCCTCCGCTGCGCGTCCAAGCCTTTCTCCGCGAAGTACTGGATCGCAGCTCGGGGATCCACTTCGGACTCTGGCACCCAGAACCCCTCGTCATTGCCCCCAGCCTCGCACACCCTGAACAGAATCTCGTCTGCTGTCTCTCCCAGCACAGTCTCTGGATCCTTGTGCTCAACGACGCTAGATTGGCAATTGGCCCCAGCGCAGGTCGCCTCAAAGTGGTCGACGCAAAAACGTGCGCCAAATTTCGGTGTCCGGCGGCGCGACAAGCTGATTGCCTTCCCGAGAGCTACATCCAATTGGCGGTCCTGGTGCGGCACTCCGCAGCAAGATCTTTTTATCTTCTGGTTGCCGTCGATGGCCTGCCTGCTCGCCTGCGCGGGGTCACTCTGCAGCAGCGCCGCTCGGGTAGCAGCCTCGAAGTGTGATTGAGCCTTCGGCCACAAGGTCCGCGCGTTCTCCTCTGAGGTAGCGGACAAACGAAAGTGCTCCAAGGCGACGGACGTGTCCCCGTCGGCACACATGCGTTCAACGCGTAGCAACATCCGCCATTTGAACCAATCCTCTCTGATGTATAGCCGAAGAGCACAGCCAGGTAGGCGAGGCCCGTCTGGCGAATGCCTCTCCATGTCGTGCGCAACGTACGCTTCCCCGGCGAAAGTCACGTGCTCCCGGAGCAAGCGGGCGTGCAGTTGCAGAAGGTATTGCACGGACACGCCGAACGAGCTTGTCAACATAAAGCAACGAAGAGTGGATGGGGCACCTCGGAACCAATGGCTCCCGTCAATCGTAGCGTAGTTGTGCCAGGTCAGCCGCAAGTACTCTGGGCACCCTTGAGTGTAACACCTCCAGGGGACGTGGCGTTTCCCCACGACGCCCCCAGAATCAAGTATCCGAGCGGACGTCGCCTTGCTCGTCTGCAGGGCCCGCGGCTTATTGCACCCTGGGCACTCGCGTTGCGGGTGCACGAGGTCGGTCGAGCGTGTCTCGCCCCCGAGAAATGGCGGCGAAGGCCTCCAACCCTGGCTGAGGGAAGTGGCCATGCCGTTGACCTCCTGATCCCCCAGAAGTGCCGGCACGTCCGCCGTGCGCAACGCATCCCGCAGAGCGACGTGCAACTGTTCGTCCGAACCAAGCTGCGGCACGCCAGCGGAAAGAAGATCGCTGGGCGACGCCGCCATGGATGGTGCCTACCTGGCAGCCCGTGCCAACGAACAAAAGCCGCCCCGCCCCAAGGGCGCTTGGCCCAAAACGCGCGACGGCTTCAAGTGTCTGCCAGCGCCGGCCTCTCACGTAGCGGGCAGTTTAATGGCGGACGTCAAGCCATCGCGGTGTATGCGATGTCATCCGCATTGCACGGCTATTGCGATTCGGTTAAGGCTTGCTTGTTGGGGCTACGTCTTCGACACCGCCATGGCGTCTTCACTTGGAACCGCCTGGCCCCGCCGATCGCTCTTGCACCCCTGCGTCCCGTCTGAACATGGAAAACTTCCCCATGCACGCCCTGCGCCGCGGACGGGCCCCGCTCGCGCGGGCCCGCGCGGGCCCGCGCGGGCCCGCAGGGCGCGCATAAGGAAATTCCTCGCAGTCCGGGAGGGACATCGGGAGAGGACGACTCAAAGGGAGCTGGGGCACATATAGCTTGCCTGGGGAAGGCCCACCCCTAAGCCTACCCCGAAGGCCAACCCCTAGGCCCACCCTAGGCCAAGCCCCAGGGCCCACCCCCAGGCCTACCCCTAGGCCCACTCCTAAGGCCTAACTGGGGAAAGGGGGAGGGCTTGGGATGGCAGGAGCGTCATCCGAAACAGCAGGCCATTTCGCGCCGTCGGTCAATCCCATGCGGCGAAAGTGGTACAGCGCGCAACCTGGTTATTTCAATGACCGTAACGGAAGAGAGGACAATGGGCTGCGACGAGCACGCTTCTTTTGCTTACGATCGGTCCTCTCTGTATTGATATGCGCCCCAGAAGCACCCCTTTCTGGAGCGAGCGCGGCAGCTGGAAATGAATGCTGAAGCCGTGCGCCATGAGAAAAGCTGGAATTCAACTCGCGCGAGCCGTGGATTGCCCTACAACTCGAGCGCGTCTGCTGCAGCGAGCAGCAAAAATAAGCCAGGGCTGCGAGGTCACTAGGGTCCAAGGTAAGAGCGGCTGCGCCAAGCACGAAGCGACGTTGTTCGGGCTGGATCAGACCCAGCGCTGCGAGGCAAGGCTGGCAGCATCCGATGGCCCTCGCGTCCGCGCCCTGGACTCAACTGCGCTCGCGGGCATCCTGCTGCCGCGAACGGCTGCGACTCCGCTCAGCCACCGCCCTGTTGGCCTTCTTATTTGGATGGGGCTCCCCCGGGCCGGCCCGGCCGCGCTGCTCGGCTGCCTTCTTGGCGGACTGCATGGCTTCCACCAGTTGGTGGGGCGCAATGCCGCACAAGGTCATGAGCTCATTGTGGTACTTGTGGCGCAAGGCCACGTCATCTGGAACTGGAGGCATTTTCACTCTGCACTCCTCTTCGTCAAACTGGGCAATGGAGCAACCCGCGAGGCCTGCCTTCATGACGCGCGCCCATCTCTCTGCATCAATGGTCTTGCGTCTCCCCCCACCCGCACGGGAAGTCATGATGCGTTGCGCGGCAGACCTGCGGTCGATCGCTGGGGCCCCCGCGAGGGGCGTTTTCTGCATCGCGGCGCGGTCCGTCCACTGAGGCGCAAGCAACGTCTCCTGCACCGAAGACCCCTGGAGTCCGTGCCCGTATTCAATGGACCGGACGTCCTTCATCGTGAGCAAGGCGTCGCGAGTGGAGCTCGCAGGGGCCGCCTGGGCGGCAGCCAAGTCACCTGCACCATGGAGTTCCTCTGCGCCCGGAACGTCAGCCCGCGCGCCGACTCCCGCGCCCTCGGGCCCATCTGCCGCGAGGCGCTGGCGAAAGCCGCCATCGTCTGCGCTGGCGCCGCCGCCCAGCGCGGCGGCGCCGCGCGGTTCGTCCTGCGGCGTCCCGTCGAGCCCCAATGCCCGGGCAGCCTCCTCCTCAGCCTCCTCCTCCTCCACTGCAGATGCCTCAAGATGGTTGCCACTAGGCGTCGCCGCGTCGCCTGCGAAGGCGTTCTGGGACCACAGGCCGTCGAAGGGCTGCGGGCCCCCCCCCGTGCCGATGTAACTCTCCATCTGGAGCCTCATCATCGCGGCCTCGTCCATGCCGGGAGGGCCAGTCGCCGCTGCGTCTCCGCCCGCCGCGATCGCTTTGAGGCGGTCCTCCGCGAACAGTAAGCTAGCGGCTCGCTTAATGTGCTCGGGCACAACCTGGATGGTCCTGCTCTGGTACACTGGGGTCTCGTCGTAGCGGCCGTGGAAGATGTCGAATACGCACAGGGCCCCTGCGATCTGTCCCAGTTGCCACGGCGCGCAGCCCATGCGCGCGGCGCCCTCGATGTCCTTCTTGTCGCGCTTCGTCGCCGCCTGCATATAGATTGCCCAGGGAAGGCCTACCCCTAGGGCCTACCCCCCTACCCTAGGCCCACCCCTAGGGCATACCCCTAGGCATACCATGGGAGGGTCAGTAGGGCCTACCCTTGGGGGCCTTCAGTAGGGCCTACCCTAGGCAAACCTAGGGTCGGTAGTAGGCCCTAGGGTACAGCCCCCAGCAATCTATACCGCCGCCTGGACGTTGAAGCAACCCGTGTACGACCTGAATGCAACGTCCGCCCGGTCGGTCAGGGTGAGGACGCGGTGGGGCTCGTTGAAATACGCGAGGGCGCGGGCGCAACACTTCTGCAACTCGTGCGCGGCAGGGGTGGGAAAGCTGCGGTTGGCGATCCGCCATTCTGCCTCGAAACCCAACGTTGCGTCAGATGCCAAGCGGAAGCGCACTCTCGTCTCCACGCCGTCTGGCAGCGTGACCACGTAGCCGTTCGCGTTTGGGCGGAACCGCTCCTCGACTTCTGCCGCGGCATCCAACGCGGGTAGGCCATCAGTCGGACGTTCCCGCAGCCTCTCCGCGGCCTCGGGACTCGCCGCCCCCTCCCCCAATCCGAGTGCGTCCGCGATCTCTGGCAGCAGGGGGGCCCGCGTCCAAGACGAGTGGCCGGTCGGGGGGGCGAAGTCCGTGGGGGGCGCTTCGTGCGGCTGCACCGGCCGGCCTGTCGCTACCATGAGCCGCTCCTTCGCGTGGGCGAAATGGCTGCCAGACTCCCACCTCTCCATGGGCACGTACTGGCTGGGGCGCATGTTCCCCGTCATGCCGACAGACACCGTCGGCGCCGCCGCGGCGCCGTAGGACCCGCGCGACTTCGTCGACCGGGACGCCTGGCCGTACTGCGCTAACTTGTTGAAAGCAGACTGGTGCGGGTTGACGGCGTTCCTCCCGCCCTTGCTGGACGCCTTTTGCTCGTCGGACAAAAGCCCGAAGGCTTGGAGTAGGTCGTGCGCTTCGTCCAAGTTCACAAGCACGCCGAAGAAATGCCTGCGCTTCAGTTCGTCGTGGTCCATTTTGTCGGCGTTCTGCAATTGCTGGAAGTCGCCAGCCATGCGGTGAAAGAACTCTGCTGGCGTCGCTGAGTGCAGCACTGAAGAGACGATTTTGGGAGCGACGTTATTTTCCTCTTCCTCGTCATCCGCGCTCTTCAGATCATCCCACATCTTTTCAACTACCTTCAACACGTGTTTGTCGATCTGGTCGCCGAACCCGTCAGCATTGCCCGTGATCGAACTCTTCCGTGTTTGAGCATAGTTAATGTTAAAGAAAAAGATAAAGAGTGGATTGTCCGACGAAGGGAACAGTGCAATCTTCGCCCCGTTGGACAGCGCGCACATCATCGACAGGAAGTGCATTGCGTACGGCATCTCGGGGTGCGAAGCCTTAATGGAGTAAAGTTGCACGAGGTCGTGCCCGCTCTTCGTGAGCACGTAGTTTGGGTCGAAGTGTCCGTCAACCGCGTCCCACATGTCCTTCATGACGCGCATGTACTGCTTGGGCGGAACGTAATCGCCCGCGCCTGGCATGCTTATGAACGCGCGGGTGCAAGGGCGAATGAGATCGCGCCCCAGGGTGAACGTAAGCGTTCTATCGAGAGGATACGTCCCAGTAAGTGCGAGGACCCTCCCCGCTGCTACAGTAATAACATTTGAGCCATGACCGCAGGCGAAGGTGGAGAGTGGTTTTGTGAGGGACGGTGCGCCCCGAATATTGGATATGACGCGGCGGGAGCAGCGCGCAGGTATAGCCCTGACGTGGCCGGCGTGGGGCCTGGCGCTCCCAGACTCCAAGACGGCCCGACGGTTCCTAAGATGTTCCCTAATCGGCCGAGAGCCCCTAAAGACAACCTATACGGCCCATGAGAGCCCCGCGGGAACCCCGACCAGGGAACGCGAACTGCCGCCCAAAAGACGCCAAAGAAACTTCAAAGCCACCGCAGGGGCTCTCCGAACCTCCCCTGTGATGGTCCCCCGTGATGGTTCGCTTTGAAGTCCCCCCGTGGAGGCCAGCGCAGGCCTCCAAAAGCGGGCGGTTGAACGGCGGGGGCGAACCCTACATTTTGGGGTCGGCGGCCTCGCGCGAACGGAAGGCGGTCCAGCAAACCCTGGCTACGATCTAAACTTAAACGCTGCCAAACATCGGCAAACAAACCGTGAAACCCACGCGGTGTAAGCCATGCCGTGCGCACTTCTCCTGCAGCTACATTTGAATGTAAAATGGTTGTTGGTATTGTTTTGGTTGCGCAGTTGAAATCTTCAACCTCGTTGTGGGCACTTGCAGCCTCCAAAATGCATATGACAACATTGGTCAGTGCGATCGTACTCAGAGCATCGCCTTGGGCGACCCCGTTGTAAGCGCGGAGCCAATCTCCAACCGGTCCTTCGAGTCGGAATATCCTCCGCAATCCGAGGCGCATACCCCTTGGTGGTCCTAGTATCGATGTATGCATTCCCCGTCACAGTATCGATGTATGCATTGTGCGCAATTGAAATCTATATAAAGTACGGGGATCGTGGCCCCCGAGTGTGAAAAGTCAAGCTCTCGGCGACCAGACGCCCACGCGAGGCCCCCAGACCACCCCAAGAGGCCCCCATGAGGCGCCAAGAGGCCTCGAAGAGGCGCCAAGCAGGCCCCGGGAGCTCCCCAAACAGCCCCCGAGAGGGGGGGAGGAGGAGGAGGAGGAGGAGGAGGAGGAGGAGGAGGAGGAGGAAGGAGGAGGAGGAGGCGGAGAGGAGGAGGAGGAGGAGGAGGAGGGCGGAGGAGGAGGAGGAGGAGGAGAGGAGGGAGGAGGAGGAGGAGGAGGAGGAGGAGGAGGAGGAGGAGGAGGAGCAGGAGAGGAGAGGAGGAGGAGGAGGAGGGGAGGAGGAGGAGGAGGAGGAGGAGGAGAGGAGGAGGAGGAGGAGGAGGAGGAGGAGGAGGAGGAGGAGGAGGAGGAGCGGAGGAGGAGGAGGAGGAGGAGGAGGAGGGGAGGAGGAGGAGGAGGAGGAGGAGGAGGAGGAGGAGGAGGAGGGGAGGAGGAGGAGGAGCAGGAGGAGCAGGAGGAGCAGGAGGAGGAGGAGGAGAAGGAGGAGGAAGAGAAGGAGGAGGAGGCCCGAAGAGGGCCCAAAGCTGCTTCCAAGAGGCGCCCGAGAGGCCAAACGCGAGCTCACAACCAACATTCATGAGGCCTCTGACCCATTAGCCAGGCACGGTGGGCGAGCACGATACCTTGGGCTGTAAGCCGCCGGTGGTTGAGGCGTGCGTCGGGTCCTCCTCAAAATCGGTCTCCAGTGCCCTCATGGGGTCCAAGCGGCCTCATTTTTCAAGCTGCGTCCAGCCGTGGCGACGAGGGCCCCCTTGAAGGCCAACTACTGGTGTCTCAAACGGCGCCCCCCTGAGATGATCCGCGGGTTGACCAGCACGGACGACGGAAGGACAAAAGACGACGTAAGCAGAAACGTTGGGAGGTGTGCAAAGACTTCGTGGATCTGCGCTGGACCTCTGGCGCGCCAGGGCCGCGCTGGAGGTGCCCCAAGGAGGTCCAGTCCCCTCCCTCCTCCTCCTCCTCCTCCTCCTCCTCCTCCTTCTCCTCTTCCTCCTCCTCCTCCACCTCCTCCTCTTCCTCCTCCGCCTCCTCCTCCGCCTCCTCCTCCTCCTCTCCGTGCTCTTCATCCTCCGCCGCCTCCTCCTCCTCTTCCTCCTCCTCCTCCTCATCCTCCTCCTCTCCGTGTTCTTCATCCTCCGCCGCCTCCTCCTCCTCCTCCTCAACCTCCTCCTCCTCCTCCTGCTCCTCCTCCGCCGATCCCCGACAAAACACAAGCAAACAGACAGGCGGGCAGAGACGGGGGCGACAGGAGGAAGGCGGTGAAGGAGGGAGAGAAGGGAACAAACAGGAAACGCAGCAGAAGAGGGAGGGAACGGAAGAAGGGAAGAGGAGGGCGGAGGAAAGCCGAAAGAGTACGAGTGAGGTTGGAAAGCTCACCTGTTTTTCTCGATGTGGCGACATTGAAAATAGCATGACAGGGCATGAGGGATCTGCCGTGGCATATGACTAGGAACGCGGCTGATTCAGCATCGCGCCACAGCCCGAAAAAGGAGGGAAGAGTGGGTAATGAACGCGTGGCCTCCCAGCGTGGAGGAGGAGGAGGAGGAGGAGGAGGAGGCGGAGGAGGAGGACGTCGATGGGGGGAGGAGGAGGAGGAGGAGGAGGAGGAGGAGGAGGAGGAGGAGGAGGAGGAGGAGGAGGAGGAGGAAGAGGAGGAAGAGGAGGACGAGGTCGAAGGGGAGGAGGGGAAGGAGGTCGAGGAGGAGGAGGAGGAGGAGATCGTCTGCACACACATGGCCGACGGAGGAGGGGGGGGGAGGAGGAGGAGGGGAGGAGGAGGAGGAGGAGGAGGAGGAGGAGGAGGAGGAGGAGGAGGAGGGAGGAGGAGGAGGAGGAGGAGGAGAAGGACGACGAGGAACGAGGGGAAAGAGATCAGGACGAGGAGGACGACGAGGAGGAGGGAGGAGGACGAGGTGGAGGAGGAGGAAGAGGAGGAGGAGGAGGAGGAGGAGGAGGAGGAGGTGGAGGAGGAGGAGGAGGGGAGAGAGGGAAGAGGACGAGCAGGAGGAAGAGGGGGAGGACGAGGAGGATGCGTCGCCTAAGCCCTTCGGGGAAACCATCCCATCCCAAGTCACCTCCAAGAGGAGGAGGAGGAGGAGGAGGAGGAGGAGGAGGAGGAGGAGGAGCAGGAATTGACATCTTTTGCCCGGCGGAGGGCGGCAGAAGGTCGAGGGAAGCCAGAGGAAGTAATACATTGCCAGGTGTTGCTAAAGTGGCCCCTTGCCCAACGTGCCCCCAGCTTCTCGCTCAATTTTGGAGCCCCTGGGGCCCCTTGAACCTCGTGAGGGGTGCTCTGGATGCCTCGGGGGGCTCCATGGAACTCCTGGGCGCACCTTTGGCCAGGGGCGCCTCTAGCAACACCCGACAATGGCGCCCCCGCCATCGGAAGACGCATGCCCTGGCATCTGCCGTCGCGATTTGTTTCACAACGTCGGCCCCAAGATATCAGGACCCCTTCCCCAGGACCAGATGTTCATCCTTAGTCGGTTATCGATTCTCCCGAGGGCCTCTGGAAGCCAAAGATGACCAAAAACCTTCTGTCGTGACTTTTTCGCCACGAGGGGTATCAAGATAAGAAGGGCGGCTCATAAGAGAACTCAAGATTTTCGAGTCCAAGGTTTTCGACATCCGCCATGTGTGGGGCCCTGCTGCTCGAGAGGGGCGCCCTCCATCCTCGGGAGGCGCAGGAGCATGGGCAGCAGGTGCAGGGGGAACTGGAGGAGGAGCAAGATGATGAGGACAGGGAGGAAGAGGAGGAGGAAGCGGAGGAGGAGGAGGAGGAGGAGGAGGAGGAGGAGGGAGGAGGAGGACGACGAGGAAGGTTGAGGAGGAGGAGGAGGAGGACGACGAGGAGGCGGAAGAGGAGGAGGAGGAGAGTAGGAGGCAGGACCAGGAGGAGGACGAGAGGGGGAGGAGGAGGGGAGGAGGAGGAGTGGAGGAGGAGGAGGAGGAGGAGGAGGAGGAGGAGGAGGAGGAGGAGAGGAGGAGGGAGGAGGAGGAGGAGGAGATGAGGAGAGGAGGAGGAGGAGGAGGAGGAGGAGGAGAGGAGGAGGAGGAGGAGGAGGAGGCGGAGGAGGAGGAGGAGGAGGAGGAGGAGGAGGAAGAGGAGGAGGAGGAGGAGGAGGAGGAGAAGAGGCGAGGAGGAGGAGGAGGAGGAGGAGGGAGGAGGAGGAGGAGGAGGAGAGAGGAGGAGGAGCAGCGAGGAGGAGGGGGAGGAGGGGGGGGGGAGGAGGAGAGGAGGAGGAGGAGGAGGGAGGAGGAGAGGAGGAGAGGAGGGGGAGGAGAGGAGGAGGGAGGAGGAGGAGGAAGGAGGACGAGGAGGAGGAGGAGGAGGAGGAGGAGGAGGAGAGAGGACGAGGAGGAGGAGGAGGAGGAGGAGGAGGAGGAGGAGGAGGTGGAGGAGGGAAGAGGAGGAGGAGGAGAGGAGGAGGAGAAGAGGAGGAGGAGGAGGAGGAGGAGGAAGAGGAGGAGGAGGAGGAGGAGGAGAGCGAGGAGCAGGAGGAGGAGGAGGAGGAGGAGGAGGAGGAGGAGGAGGAGGAGGAAGAGGAGGCGGAGGCGAACAATTGTCGAAGAACCCTTCTCCCCAGAGCCCCCAGGAAACCGTCAAAAGACTGGTGCGTTTGGATCCCGTGCGGACTGAAAATGTTTGAGCCGAGTTGGGCCACCTGCGTTTGGGGCCTCTGTGGGCTGCGTTCGGGGCCTCTGCGGGCAGCGCGGAGCTTCTGTGGGCAGCATTTGGGGCCCCTGCGGGCAGTGTGGGCAGCCCTTGGGGCCTCTGCGAGCAGTGTGGCAGAGTTTGGGGCCTCTGTGGGCTGCGTTTGGGGCCTCTGTGGGCAGCGTTCGGGGCTTCAGTGGGCAGCGAGGGGGGGCCTCTGTGGGAAGCGTTTGGCGGGTCAGTGGGCAGCGTCTGGGGCGTCAGTGGGCAGCGTGGCGGAGCCTCTGTGGGCAGCGCTGTGGAACTCTGTGGGCAGCGTGGCGCGGCCTCAGTGGGCAGGTGTGGGGCCTCTGCGGGCAAATCTTGAAGCCTCTGTGGAGTCCGGGGCCTCAGTGGGCAGCGGAGCGAGGCTTGTCTGCGAAGTACTAGGAAGTCTCGAACGGGAGCGCCGTTCCTGAATTCGGAGGCCCGTCAGTCCAGGGCGCGTCAGAGTAAAATTATCCCGGCGAAACAACCTACCAGCGATGTGTAGAAGCATATATGAAAGCATTCCCCTTAAGATTCATATGAAAATCCAGTTGTAGAATTCTGCTGTTCTCGCAGTCGTAGTCGCATTCGCGATGACAGTCGCAGCGGCAACGGCAGTCGCAGTCACAGCCTCAGCCTCAGCCTGCCTCAGCCTCAGCCTCAGCCTGCCTCAGCCTCAGCCTGCCTCAGCCTCAGCCTCAGCCTGCTTCAGCCTCAGCCTCAGTCTGCCTTCAGCCTCGGCCTCAGCCTCAGCCTCAGCCTGCATCAGCCTCAGCCTCAGCCTGCCTCAGCATCAGCCTGCTTCAGCCTCAGCCTCAGCCTGCCTCAGCCTCAGCCTCAGTCTGCTTCAGCCTCAGCCTCAGTCTGCCTTTCGGCCTCAGCCTCAGCCTGCCTCAGCCTCAGCCTGCCTCGGCCGCAGCATCAGCCTGCCTCAGCATTCAAAATGTGGCCCAGGAGTGGAATTCTGGGAAATAGAAGAACACGAAGTGGCCTACAGTTGGCTCCGGGCATTCAAAATGTGGCCCGGGAATGGAGTTCTGGGAACTTGAAGAGCACGAAGTGGCCTACAGTTGGCTCCGGGCATCCAAAATGTAGCCCGGGAATGGAGTTGAGTTCTGGGAAGTCGAAGAGCACGAAGTGGCCTACAGTTGGCTCCGGGCATTCAAAATGTGGCCCGGGAGTGGAGTTCTGGGAAGTCGAAGAGCACGAAGTGGCCTACAGTTGGCTCCGGGCATTCAGAATGTGGCCCGGGAATGGAGTTCTGGGAGGTCGAAGAGCACGAAGTGTGCGACTGTTAACTTAAAACGACTTCTGCGGCGCCCTGTCCGGCACCCGCCCAGACCCCCCTGCGGAGTCATCTGCTGCTCTCTTTTGACACCACTAGAAACCTATCAGAACAAGCTGTTAGGTAATTAAACAAAGTATCGAGCGGGAGCGGTTGTCGTCGTAACCGGGCCCGTAGGGGCACGGATAGACAACCAAGCTCCCACTCGAGCGGGAGCCTCGCTTTCACAGAAAATGAGGCCAGCGTCGAGGAGGCGCTGTCGGACGGAGACAAGAACCCCCGCGCGCCTGCACGGTTCGCGCGAGGGGCCCGCGTGGCGCGCCCCTACAATTCCGCCACTGCCGCGCGAGCGCGGCCAGGCGGAAAATGTCGGGAAGCGATAAAAATGTTGACCAGATCCGTTGCCGGAGGCGCTGTCGGACGGAGAGGGGGCCTCCGCGTTCTGTCGCGATTCGCGCGAGGGGCCCGCGTGGCACGCCTCTATAATTCCGCCACTGCCGCGCGAGCGCGGCCAGGCGGGAAACGTCGGGAAGCGATGGAAATTTTGACCAGATCCGTGGCCGGAGGCGCTTTCGGACGGAGAGGGGACCTCCGCGTTCTGTCGCGATTCGCGCGAGGGGCCCGCGTGGCACGCCCCTATAATTCCGCGACTGCCGCGCGAGCGCGGCCAGAGGGAAAACGTCAGGCAATCAAAATTTTGACCAGATCCGTCGCCAGAGGCGCAGTTCGATGGATCAAGAACCTCCGCGTGCCTGCACGGTTCGCGCGCGAAGCCGGCGTGGCCCAGCCCTATCGTTCCGCCACTTCCGCGGAAGCTCGGTGCCGAGAAAGGCCCTAGAGACCGAGGGGCGCCAAAAACCAGAGAGGGCTCAGATTCGTCGCAGCCCGCAAAGAGGAGAGAAGGCGGAGGTGGAAGAGGGCGGCGGTGGGAGGGCGGAGGTGGAAAACGCGCCGGCGGGTCTTGGCGCTCACCTCGTGGACTTAACCGCAGTGATCAGCATCCCCTGGCACTGCGTGCGGTGCCAGGCCAATGCCGCGTCGTACGCGCTCTGCGTTGCAAGCGACAAGACGCAGGACGTCGGCCCAACTGTCTCCACCGCGTCAGCCCCGAAGTCAGCCTTCAGGCGGTCAGGGTCCGAGTTCTTGCGGAGGTTCTTGACGAAGGCTTCCCAGGTCGGGGCGGTGAGCGCAAGGCGAGGGTTGGGGAGCGCCTGTGGCGTGGAAGGCGCAGGCCCCGGGGCGGGCTCTGGGAACGCGCCGAGGCCAGGGCTCAGCGTGACCGTGGAGAGTGGGCGCCACAAGAGGTCAAAAGGGATGTTGTGCCTGTCCTGGTGAATCTGCACACGCTCGTCGGTGCGCACGGCGACAATGTAGCCGTGCACCGTGAACCCAGTGGTGGTGGACACGTACTGGCACCGGCGGCCCAGGAGACGTTCCATGGCGGCGCGGTGCGTGCGCGGCGCGGTGAGCAGGGCGAGAAGCGAAGGGCCGACGACGAGCTCGACAAAGAGGAGGACAGCGGA